GCTGGTGATCTGGAGACAGACACTCCCCCCCCGGCACCCCAGAAACGGGCCCTGCTCGGTTTCAGAGGGGCTCCAGGCACGTTCCCAAGAAAAGTGGGTTTTGCAAAGCTGAGAGCGAGGCCCAAGGCGGCCCAAGCTGGCGTCTCAAGAACTCTGTTGGAATAACTGTAACGCGTCGGACACGCACAAAGAATTATCCTTCCCATCATCGCCAAAGACTCTCTAAATAGACTAAATACCAGCAGCTCCAAGCTCTGCTGATACAGGGGAAAGGAATAACAAGATAACCACTGGCTGGTTTTCTTATTTCAAGGTGAGTGAATAACCACAACTGAATGTTCAAAGGAAAACAGAGATTTGGGCTTTCTACAAATCCCTTAGGCTAGGGAGGACATTTTCACCCTCTGCCTCCAAAATCAGGTTACTCTGCAGAAACCAGCCCTCCTGCCAGAGCCCAGGCCAGCCCCCGAGAAAGGAAGCTGTGCTCTCCCAGGTATGTGATAACACTTCAAATACGCAGCTCTAGAAAACCATTAACCACATTCTTTGATGTATTTACTGGAGATCGCTCCCGAGCACAACCTTCCACCCTCGCTCACTCAAATAACATGTCAGATCAAACCCAAAAAGAGGGAACTGCGGCTACAGTTGTGTCCTCCCACGCCAACCCTAAAAACCAAGCGTTGTCTCCTTATTAAAAGCATCATCAGATATTCTGGCATTTGCTAAAGGACAGGAGATAAATTTCCAAGGCCTGGTTAATGTTGTCTTCTCTAGGGAAAAAAAAAAAGAAAAAGGTTTTAAACACCTGAGGTTACCAAAGCTGTTAATGGACGCCCAACAACTCAGAGCTGCAGATATCTGCTTCCCCGAAAACACCAAGAGCAGAACTAGATAACCCCTGAGGTATCTCCAGGCTGACTCCTCATTAACTACCTATTCCTTTCCTCTGATTAATTTATCTTCTATTAATTACTGGAACATTCCAATTCCTGAGGCTACTGGGAATCAGACTGCTCCATTAATTAATTCTCCAAGTCACTCCACTTAGGTTAAATCCTGGCAGCGGACCGTACCCAGGAAAGCCACAGAGGCTTTTAAGCTGCGCTGGCGTTTACACCTTCCACAGGCAGATAACGCCTCTCGGCAGCGACGCTGTTGAGAAACGAGACATGGGAGTATTTTTGGGAACAAGTCCGGCAGGCGCCACACGGTATTCCCGGCATGGACACATCACGGGGCAGAGGGAGG